GGAGGCACAAGCTGCGGCAAGCCGTGATGGATTCTTCGTATACTCTGGACCACTGGTCCCGGAGGTGGAGAAGCCTGAGCGGTACGTATTTGTGATTACTGTGAAAAGATTCCTACTGACAATCCTGCAGACAAGAGTTGCCCAAGCGAGGACGTGGGAGCAGAGGGGGTCGCATGGGCACCCGAGGTGGCACCACACGTGGTGGTGCTTCATCGGGTGGCGCTGGTCGCGGAGGAGGCCCTGGTTCTCGAGGCGGCACGACCACACGGAAGCCTCGCATCAGTAAGGCCGAGAGGGCCCAGCGTGAGCTGGAGAAGTCGCAGCGTGAGTCGTTGTCGAAGCTCGGGGAAGGCCCTCCATCGACACAATCTATCCACCCCACCACGCCCAGTACCTTTTCGGTCACGGAGCTCGGTGCTTGAGGGCAACGAGCGAGGCACGGCACCCATATTCAGCGAGTACCTCACTCTTTCGATACTTTTGGGTTGCTTTGTACGAATTCATTCGGCTAGAGATGCATTCATCCTGAGCCGAACCAGGACACGGCGCATCTGATTCTCCGACGAACATGTCGACATGGACATGGCATCGCTTTGTTTTTTGTTGTGTTCGAGACTTGGCGTTTGATATGAGGAAGTTCACATCCGGAGCGTTTTTGCATTTGCATTTCGTGGGTGCGCTAGTTAGGGCAGGCCGAGAGAGAGGGCGGTCTCCTTTGTAATGTCAGAGAAAGGCGATAGGGCGGACTGCTGTCGCGACTATATGCGTGGAGAGAGATGCTGCATGGACTGGCGTAGGGAGAGGGAATGTATCGTTCTGTCTCAGCCTACGGGATCATCTATCATAGCGAGAATGGTCGACCCAGTGTTACTTAGAGCTGCAAGGAGCAATCACACGCTTGAGTACTATGTACACCGCGGACTTCCCCAGTGCGACGATGAAGATATAGCTTTATAAGAGCACCTTCCCCCCCATTCTGGCCTTTATCCATCCATCACCGGTTCACCTGCTCCCCATGAAAATCCAGAAAAGGGGCCGCCCGCGCTTTGTCTACTAACTGACTTAACTTTAATCACTTAGGCAATGCTGAACTCGGGCACCTCGCCCATCTCATTCTTCGCCTCGCCACCGACCTTGTACGTGGCCCGCCATCGCATTTTGACACCGTCCACCTTGGCGGCCTTGTTGCCCGCGTGGTAGACGTTGACCATTTGTGTGACGCCGCGGCTCTGCTTTGGAGCCAGATCACGGCCCGTCTGAGGGTTGAGCTGCAGCTCGTAGCCCTGTGTCGTTGTTAGTAAGAGATCACTCCACTGAACGGACCAGGGAAAGGGGGGACGTACCTTTGTCACGGCCAGCTGGAAGTGTAATTCGCTGACAGGCGCAGCGGCATTGTTGGAGAATGCAAAGTTGACGTTGAGAGCGTTGGGCCCGGCAGGTCCACGTCCAGCCTGCATCTCAATGCGGACGGTCGTGTCGCTGAGGATCTGGCGGTGCTCCTTTGGCTTGGAGGGCGTCTCGGCCGGCAGGGCCGACGCAAAGTTCCACTCGTCGTCCTCTGCGGGAGCCGTCGGTTTCGGGGGTTGCGCGGCCGGCACCGCGGCGCCCAGGGAGGCGAACGGGTCGCTTGCGGGCTGCGGTGGGGGGACGAAGGCCGAGGACTGCTGCGAGGGCGGTTGAGGTGTCATGGACTGGGACCCTGACGGCGAAGCGAAGGCGGCGAACTGGTTTTGCGGAGGGGTGGGCGCCGACTGCTGCTGTGATGTGTTGTTCTCTGTCAGGGACGACAGCAACGCTGGTCCAGGGATATCTGTGTCTCTCAGCCCGAAGTACTTGGAAGCGTATAGTTCATTTCACTCACTGTCGTTCTGACCGAATCCCAAGGAGATGCCACCGCCTTGTCCAAAGCTACCCGAGTCACCTCCAATATCGAGGCCTAGAAGATCATTTTCGATACCGCCAGTCTGTGATGTGCCTTGTTGCGCCGCTGGTGCGCTCTGGCCGCCGCTCCCGTTCGCGGACGGCTCGTTGTCAAAGTCGATGAGAGACAGCTCACCTGGAGCATTGCCAATGGTCGTTGTCTGCGAGGGCGCGGGGCCGCCGGCCGCGACTTTGGCAGCACCCTCCATGTCGCCCTTCTTCATGAGCCTGTACCGCTCGACGGTGCGGTGTATGCTGTCGTTGATCTCAAAGAGCTTGGCCACCGCCTCGTGGTCGTCCGACTCCTCCTCGCACATCTTCTGGATCTTGGGCTGCGCGCTCTGCAGCGCGGCGGCCAGCTCACTGAAGACATCGCCGTCCTGCATCTTGTCGCCTGGCTTGAAGGCCTCGAGGCGCTCCTCCAGCAGACGGGCCTTGGCCTGGATCTTGCCAATCTCCTCGGCGGCCTTTGCGCGGTAGTCGGTCTTGGATCGGGTGTCGAAGCCGGCCATGACCTTCATCAGTCGATTTGCCTCCTGCAAGTCATGCGGCGTGCCGCGGCGGATGAGCTCCTGGAGCTTGGCAGACTGGGCTTCCTTCTCCTCTTCCTCCATTTCTTCGGGAGACTTGAGGTTCTGTTTGGGTCAGCTCCTGATACTCACTCGCTGCTACCGACCACCCTCCTTCTCTCGTGAAAACTTACGTCGCTTGGGTTGAGTACGGCCGCATCTTCTCTTCGCACCTCGGGGAAGACGTAGCCCTTGTAGCTCAACAACCTGTGCATGTCCCGGATGAAGCCCAAGTCATCCTTGTAGCGACTGGTCTCGCACAGCGTCAACCTCCATTCCTCAATCGCCTCCAGAATCTTGGCCTGCACCCTCGTCGGCCGCATAGGCGGTCGTTCCGGGAACCGTCGCACCAGCTCATTGAGGAATTCCTTGGTGCTGATCTGGAGGTGGAAGGGATACCCGCAGTTCTTGACGCAGATGTCGAGCAGGTTGACGGCGAGCAGGGCGACATTGGGGTTGCGGTGGTTGATGTAGTTGACAATGGCAGTGGCCGCCTCGCGCGGCGCGGTGCCCTTCTTGCTGTTGATGAGGTCCGAGATCTCGAGGTTGAGGGCGAGGTTGGGCTCGTAGTTCTCGGGACTGCACGCAGCTTGGATGAAGCGCTGGAGCTGCGAGGGGGCGCGACCGAATTCGCCCCAGCGATCGCGGGCAGCGGCCCTTGCGGAAGCCGCCTCCATGGCGGTGGTGTGCGTGCGCGTGGCTATTCAGGTGCTGTCGGATATCGTGGACGGTGTAGTCTAGGTGCGTTGGCGCAAGTCGGACGAAGTTGGAGGGAAAATGCTAGTATTGCAATGCTTGTGAATAATGATTGAGACGCTGGAGCGCAGACATGAACCTGGACAGACAGGCAAAGCTGTCGTTGGCTGATGCTGGAGCTGTTGGATCTGCTGGATCTGCTGGAGAGGGGCGCATCGACAGGCAACGCTCGCAGTGGTTGAGGCCATTGACGTCGCCCAGTTGAGGTACGTACCTTGCCTGGACGGAGGTCTTGGCACTGCTGACTGTTCTAATCCGTCCGCCAATGCCTGCATGACTCGAGGCTCGAGGTACCGGACGCTTATTGATAATCCGCTCCGGTCATGACCCCGCCTGCCAAAATAATCCGGGCAGGTGCCCCGAGCGAGAATTGCCCCTCCATAGGACAATAATATTTATCATCACCCAGCGATCGTCATCACTCTGTTGCGGATACCTTCACCAGCCATCAGAGGACCCGTAAAGCACGAAGATCACGACGATATCGACAGAATGGTTCGCCACAAGAAGGATTTTGGAAAAGGCAAGCGTGGCGGCGCCCACTCTGGTCCTCCCCGGCCACGGCGCACCAACGAAGATGGCACGCCCGTCGTTGTCCCCTTCAAGGCAGCTTGCTGGGATCTCGGCCACTGCGACCCGAAACGCTGCTCTGGCAAGAGACTGATGAAGCTGGGACTCATGCGTCCCCTACACGTCGGCCAGCGACACAACGGCGTCATCATTACCCCCAACGGCAAGACGACAATCTCCCCTGCCGACAGAGAAATCATGGATCAATACGGCGCGGCAGTGGTGGAATGCTCCTGGGCGCGGACGGGCGAGATTGCGTGGAACAAGGTCGGTGGCAAGTGTGAGCGACTGCTGCCGTACCTCGTGGCCGCCAATTCCGTCAACTATGGAAAACCGTGGCGGCTGAACTGCGTGGAGGCATTGGCAGCCGCGTTCTTCATCTGTGGCCATCCCGACTGGGCGGAACAGGTGCTGGAGCCATTTTCCTACGGACCATCCTTCTTGCAGATCAACTCAAGTCTACTGAAGCGGTACGCGGCCTGCACGGACGAGGCGAGTATCAAGCAGACACAGCAAGAGTGGATGGAGAGGTTGAAGCGGGAGTATACGGAGAGCAGAGAGGACGGAGGTGATATGTGGACGAGCGGAAACACCAATCATCGGGAAGCCGTGTCGTCAGATGAGGGCGGCAGCAGCGAAGAGGAAGAGGAAGAGGAAAAGGATGACGAGAGTGTGGACGGGATATACCTGGGCAAGAAACCCGCGAAACCAAAGCCTGAAGAGGAAGAGGAGGAAGACAGAGATCCGTACGCCCTATCAGACGACAGCGACGACGATGCCGCCATGGAGGAGATTCGCCGCAAGGTGCTTGCGTCCAAGACGTTTAGCAATCCACAGCCAGACGACAAGAAGAAGCCCGAGACAATACCGCGGCAAGAGCAGCTCAGGCCGGACCACGACGTCAAGCCGGACTCGGACAATGAGGATAGCAATTCTGACGGCGAGGATGACGATGATTTCGACAATATCATCGACGCGACGCCAGTCACCGACAAGATTGGGCTCGCCAAGCTGGACAAGGAGAGAGAACGAGCGGCCATTACGACCAAGACGTTCTCATCGGGCAGTGTCTCGGCGCCCGGTAGGTGGTAATATGCAATAAATGTTGTACGTACTCTTGGCGTCTAAATACCTTCCCCCTCCATGGTCTACTTTTTCTCGTCGTGTACACTAGATTGTTAGATGTTACAATGTCCTTGCTTCTTCGATGATGTCGTATGTCTGGATTTGGTCGTCGATTTGGAAATCCTCAAAGTCCGTAAAGGCCATGCCGCATTCGGAGCCTTTGCCCATTTCCATGACATTTCGTTTGACCTGCTTGAGGGTGTCAATGTGGCCTACGAGATATGTTAGCATTCTGGTATACTTGTTGGGATGCCTTCAGAGAACCTACCATCGTACACGACCTTGCCTTTCCGCAGGATCTTGACACGAGATGTCTTCTTGATCGATCCGTTTCGCACCCTGCACCCTGCAATGTTCTGGTATTTGCGGCCCTTGACGTTGATGGGGAAGATTTGCAGCACGTCGGCCTCGCCGAGCACCTTGTGCGAAACGCTCTTGGGAAGCAGGGCCGACAGGACCGCCCGCGTCTCGTCGACCAGGTGGTAGATGACGCTGTGATCGATGATGCGGACACCAGCCTGCTTGGCCATCTGGCTAATGTGCGGCAGGATCGCGGTGTTGAAGTTGACAATCACGCTGCCCGAGGTGGCAGCGTGATCGACGTCGAACTCGGTGATCTGGCCTGTTCCCTGCCGGAGGACCCTGGAGCGAACCTCGTTGTTGCCCTGCTCGAGAACGGACGCGACGACTGCCTCGACGGAGCCGGCAACATCCGCCTTGACGGTGAAGTTCTGCGTCGTGATCTTGGGGCCAGCCTCTTCGGCGGGCGCGTCCTCGCCGAGCTCCTCCATCTCCTTGGCCGCCGCTTCGGCTTCCACTCGCTCGCGTTCCCGCGCCTCCTGCTCAATAATGTACGCCGAGTCCTGCTGTCGCTGGGTCATCTCCTCGCGGTAGTCGACGGCAGTCTTGGCCTTGTCCTCGTCGGGTGCCTGGAGCACCTGCGTGCCGGCCGGGGGAAGGTCGCGCCAGCCCAAGACCTCGACAGGCGTGCCTGGTGGCGCCTCGGTTACCTCGGCGCCGGCCTCGTTTCGAAGGAGTCGGATGCGCGCCCAGCTGTGACCGGCGACGATAATGTCGCCCGTCCGCAGGGTGCCTCGCTTGACGAGCACCGAGGCGACCTTGCCATCCTGCTTGATGCTCGACTCGAGAACCCAGCCTTCGGCCATCCCGTCCTGCTCGGCTCGAGTGTCCAGCAGCTCGGACAATGTGACAATATTCTCCTCGAGGTCATCCATGCCCTTGCCCGTCTTGCCGCTGACACAGACCGTCTGCACGTCGCCGCCATAGTCCTCAATCTGGACACCGTGCCTCGACAAGTCCGCCTTGACCTGCTCGACACGCGCCTCTTCCTTGTCGACCTTGTTGATGGCCACAATGATGGGGACCTTGGCATTGTTCGCGTGCTTGAGTGCCTCCAGTGTCTGGGGCTTCACGCTGTCGTCGGCGGCCACTACGAGCACGACAATGTCGGTGACATTGGCTCCGCGCTGTCGCATTGTCAGGAAGGCGGCGTGGCCGGGAGTGTCGAGGAAGGTAATGGGCTTTCCCGAGGACATCTTGACGACGAACGCACCAATGTGCTGGGTGATGCCACCGTGCTCCTGGGCCACAATGGACGACTTTCTGAGGTAGTCCAGCAGAGTCGTCTTGCCGTGGTCGACGTGACCCATGATGGTAACAATTGGTGGTCGCGGCGGCAAGGTCGACGGATCCTCCGGCGCTGGTCGTGGTCGTAGATCCCGCTGAGAACCGTTGTCGACGGTGGGCTCGAAGCCATACTCCATGGCGATCAGCGAGGCCATCTCGCCGGTCATGATCGTGTCCACTGTCATGTTCTCGAAGCCCAACTCCTCCAGATCGCGCAGGAAGCTGGTCTCACCCTGCTTCATGGCACTGGCGAGGCTCGAGACGTTGATGTACTCTGGCAGGAAGATGGGGACCGCCTCTGGCTCGTTCTGCTCCGCCTCCTGCTCCTTGCGCAGTCGCCTCTCCTCTTTTCGCCGTTGCTGCGCCTCGTATCTCATAAACTCCTGCTCATCCATATCGTCGTTGTCGTACCTGCCTCGGCCCACGTGTCGAGATGGACGCCCAGACTTTTTGCGCTTGTCGGCCTTCTTCCTCGAGTAGTCCTCTTGTTGTCCATCTTGTACAAATCGTGACGATTGGCGAGGAGCCATCTCTTCGGTGGGCAGAGTCGAGGCCGGAGTGGGAGTCGCCATGGGCGCTACAGGTGTGGGCCTGGGCGCGGCAGTCAGCCTCGCGTCGAGGTCACTCCAGAACTCCCCTTCTGATTGCTGCGCTCCTTGCTCTTTCTCCCTCTTCTGCTGCGCGATCCTCTCCCGTGACTTAGCCGCGCGAGCTCTCGCGTCATCCGACTTGCGTGCCTCTAGCATCGCATCGAAGCTAGTGATTTTTGACGAATTGCCTACGGGCGCCTGGTCTGTTGCACGTCTGTTGACAGGTTTCCAGTCTTTTGCTGGAGAATTCCAAGAAGGCGCCGGCGTGGTCTTGATGGGCTTTCGGGGCGCGGGTTTGGTAGCTGCTGCCGGGGGCGGTGTCTTGATATCTGTTTTGCGCTGGCTGAATGGGCCCCAAGCAGCGGCTGCCGGGGTCGCTTGGGAAGATGATTCCTGAGTTTGCTTTCCCAGGCCCTCCGTCTTGACGTTGTCGAGTATCTTGTCGATTCGCGAGCTTGGCCTTGTCTGCTCAGGCACCTTTGCCGTCGATTCTTTGACCGTGCTCTGGGTGACGGGTTCCTTGTCACCGTCTCCATGGTGTTCCTGACGCCCTTTTCGCCTTGGGTGCTTCTGCGCCTCGTGTTTTCGTCTGCTGTCTTTATGTTTGTGGCGATCGGAATGGTGCTCTGTGCCGCCATCGCTACTCCTCCCGGTCCGCGACACCTCCTTGGCTGGCGACGTCTCTTGCGGCTGGGACGCCGGCGCTGGTTTTGGGGGTACAGGATCAGTTATTGTCGCCTTTTTCGCAGCAAAACCGCCAAACCCTCCGCCGACAGCGCCAAACCCTCCACTGGCGGGACCCTTTGACGCTGGGCTGTCTCCATTTGGCGAGTCGCACAGCAAGGAGCTCGTGGAGAAGAGACGGTGTCGAGAAATGTAGTTGGCCGTCGCTGGCGCACCGAGGGCCTCATTTCGTAGTATCGCGCGACATCTCGAGGTGGGATTGGCCAAGGGCAGCTGCCCACGGCAGAAGTGGCAGATGTACGAACTGCTGCGCTCCTGGTTCGTTCGAGTCAGTATGGGGCGGGTTGAGATCAGATTGAGAGGTCTGTACCTTGAGGATAGGAGCTCTTAACATTGCCGACATGTGTGACGCCGAAATTGGCACCTGTAAGATGCTATAAAGAAAGCATGTCGCGGTCGCGTGGATGAGCAGTTGACGTAGGAAGTCTGTCCGCCTGTGGAGCTTGGCGATCGGCATTGCGCTGCAACTTTTCTGTCGGAGATTGTCCGCATACAGGGTAGGCAACGTAGCTATCCAAGAAGACTGTCAGAAATAGTTGAGCATCTTCTCGACCAAGCTCAGCCACCACCAGGAGCTACTCAACAGCGCTGACAATTTCATTGTTGGTCAAGAATGAGCGCCTCAACCAGCCAATCTAAGGAAAGTCTTTTTTTTTTTTTTTTTTTTTTTTTTTTTTTTTTTTTTTGGGAAAAATTTTAAAAAAAATGGTGGGGGGTAAAAAAAAAAAGAAAAAAAAACACAGC